TCTGGACATGTCCAAACCACTGTCCCTCCTCTGGACATGTACAAACCACTGTCCCTTCTTTGGACATGTCCAAACCACTGTCCCTCCTCTGGACTTGTCCAAGACACTATCCCTCATCTGGACATGTCCAAACCACTGTCCCTCCTCTGGGCATGTCCAAACCACTGTCCCTCCTCTGGACATGTTCAAACCATCTCAGTGTGTCCTCTCTAACTTTATCTCCCAGTTGTTCAACCTGTGCTGTACCTCTGATGATCTCATTCCTAAACTTATCCACCCTTGTCAGTCCTAAGTAGAACCTCAACATCTCAATTTCTGCTACTTCCAATTCTACTTCTTATGGGTTTGCCCTGTAAGCCGCACTTTTGGGTCTCACCCTGCGCGCTGTGCACCAATACAGAAAATAACCCTAGTCCACGCCCACTCACCCACTGTGTGGGCCCCACCCCTAGACCACATAAACAGCATATGGGTCCGTATATCTACTCCCCATTTTTTTCAGCCAGCAAAGCAACACATGGAAAACTAAGAAGAAGATGTTAGCGGACGGGAGATGTCCGCAGCTCCAAACGGCTCAGCCTGGACATCTGCCTCGGAAGCTGAACATGCAGATAGGCTCCAATGTTCCCTCTAATTTTTCACGTGTCTGGGCAAACACACAAGCTCCACGAGCGCACTGAGGACCACTGTGAGCAACATCAGATGTGCACGCTGTGGCCACACACCAGTATCACACCTGTTCAAAACCTGGGATCATAGCAAGTTACATGGCTTATGAAAGGAATCAAATTACAGCAGCAATTTCCATTAGTTTACTTTTAATTTAAGTGATCTGACCCATTTAAAATGAAAAATACATTAATCTTGTTGTTCATGAGATGTGTAGTATGTTAAATGTGAGAGTCCTGCTGTGGTCTGGGTGATGGTCCAGTTGTGGCCTGGGTGAGGGTCTTGCTCTGGAAGATGGTTAGCAACACGGTGGTCATTGGTGTCAGAAGCATGTTTGTAATGTGGGGGTGACACACTAGTAGGGGGGTCTGGGAGTCCTCCCCCAGAAAATTTTGAATGAAGTAGATGCCATTTCCTGCATTCTGGTGTATTTTAACGGGTTGTTTAACATCAAGTTTTACCTACACATGTAAAACTTGATTCAATAACTATTTTAGAGTTAATGGCACAACAAGAAGTAGCCTGACCAACAGCTCTCCTTGTGTGAACAGAGCACGCTCCGCTTCTCTCACGCATCCTAGCCACAGTCTAAGAAACACAGTATAGCCTAAGTTAAGTTTTAGGGGGAAAAAAATCACTAGCCAGTATGAAACGATGATAATAATTGCTTCTTCTTACCAATGGCCTAGCATAAAGCAATATGATCATCATCCATCGTGTTAATTTGTAGCATAAAACACCTAAATTAAAACTCCAGTAATTGGCTAGATCTACTGTAATCTTACCCAGTTGTAGGGTCAAGAGACAAACATGTATTATTGTAGTGAACTAGGCCTCCGACCTCAACCTGTCTCTGAAGGCCTTCAGGGGACAGGAACTGTTATTTCATTGATTTGAATCCAGAAATACAAATTATCTCATCAAGAGACTATTTAATTGTATCCTGAATTAATCAATTGAAAGAACACTCTTCCTTTTTACATTATCATCACTATTTTAGAATATCTTGATAATCAAAGTGTGTTTAGTTCTTACCATTTCTAAATGTTGAAGTGAACCACTCATTTAAATCAACTGTGAAACAGTATTAATGATTTTTAAACCTCATTAGACTTAGAGATCAAGTTAAATGTCTATTTACAAAGTAATTGTGCATTTTGATCTTCTGTCTGAATGAGTGGATTTGATGTTGGTCAGAAGTCAGGGATGTCGGTCGAAAGTCAGAGACAAACAGAGATGAGTTATTAGAACGAAGTGTCTTGTTTTTAAACCTAGCAGACATTAAATAACTTCAACTGGCACATGCAAAGTTTCTCACTTCTTCAAAATATTTTTCTCCATCTGTACTAACCGTTCCTAAACATTCCTGCTGTCTTTTGACTTTTAATAACCCTCTGACATCACTGAAACACCACCCCTGCTGGTTGCTTCAACCAATCAGGAAGTACCAATTGACAGGAAGTGAGTACTCTTTAAAAAGTCAACACTTCCTGGGACTATTCAGTCTTCCTGCAGTCTTCTGGCGGTCTTCCTGCAGTTTTCCTGAGTCTTTCTTGGGACTATGGAGTCTTCTTGCAGTCTTCTACTTCTGAGTGGAATCTCTGACTGGAGTCTTACTGAGACTTCCTAAGGAACTTTCAGATTTAATCAATAGCTGATTGATTTGACCGTGAGACGAGGGTCCGTCCATCCCAGCGGAGTCACAGCGCCTCGCTGTGAACTCACCCGGGCGTAACGCCCTACAACTTCGAAGGAAGCTTGTTCTGTTGAACGGAGTAAACCACATGACTTCTGACGATGACCAGCCACCCTGACCGGACACGCTGAAAGGTAGCGTGCATAGGGACCTCTAGACCGGAGCTGATCCATCCATCTGCAAAGGTAAAGAGACGT